AAAATCAAGTGACAGTGCAAGATCCCTCCCGCCGCCTGAGTGATGTGTAAAAAATAGATCCTATTACGTGCCTCTATATAAATTCATCAAAAATACAGTGGGGAAAGTATAATAAACCGAATAAAAATATTCAAGACTTGGCCTAAAGGATACCAGACCATAAACTCCAAAAAAAATGTCGGGACCAAAGATGTTTTATAGGTCCAGATACCGTGTTGCTAACACACCGCAACGTTCATAATGAAGACAGTCTTTGATTCATGTGTGCGTGAGTACCACGTGACGCGCATATCTTACGCACCATGGCTGCATTAATGTGCGTGACTTCGGTAATAACAGTGCGAATCGATTACCCAAAAAATGTGGGAGATTTTATATTTCATTCCTATTGACGTACCTATTGATTCTAAGAGTATAAAATGTGTGTGCGTGGCGTGTGCATTTGTGTGTATGTGTGTGTGTGTATGGGGATATGGTCGCTTATGTGTGTTTATGTAGGTACGAACATCGCACTAAAATATTGAAGATATGTAAAAAAAAACCTATAATTAATGTAACAGTTAAAATAAAAAAGCATTGTAGATATTTATGTATGTAACATATATTTATAATCTATTATTACTAAATATATACAGAGTACTACACTTTTGTACTGTAGAACACAAAATATTGACACTTTTTACGAAGACATTAAATTATTTTTCAATCCTAAGTAAAATGACGAAAAAAAGTAAGTTTGGTTAAGCGTAAACTTCAGCTAAGAGATAGCAAAATGTTTATTTTTTTTAATTTACTCCGTTCCGTTGCTGCGTGAAGGAAGGACAAAAACATATAAACAAGAAATTTACAATCGGCTTTTTGAGGGTGGAACTATACCGGTTACACTATAACGGTTCTGAGTGACCAAAAAGGATAGAAGCACAGGAAAGTGCAATTTCATGCTGCCAGATGTAGTTCAACCCTAACCCTTAAAACGGTTTAACTCTATAGGTTGGGTAAAATCTGTAAAATTAGACTGTTTAAATCCCCTATACAGATAACCTTTGTGGTTGATCATGACATTAAAAAATGGTAAAAACATTTCATAGACTAGGCAACACTCGAATATTATTGCGCAGTATTATTACTTGTATTGACATTTAGCTTTCGTATTCTTTTACAAAGAAATACACCATAAAATTGTATAGTTACTTATGAAAAGTGATGTCCTTATCCTTATCTTTTTTCCAAGAGTAATTTTTAAATGATTTCACAGCACAAACAGTTATTTTGCGAAATTAAAAACACCGGTGCGTGACGTATGTTCACAGCGAACCATCTATATAGTTTGTGCAGCGAACGTCGCTGGCGTAATGCCTAGTACTACTCTCTGACTAGTATACAGTTATCTGTGGCGTAATGGCGGAAGGATCGAACGAATACGCCAATATTGGCGCCTTTGAAATGGAAGCATTTTAGTTGCGCGTACACGGTATCTGGACCTATAAAATATCTTTGGTAGAACAATTACTTAAGTGTGGTGTTACTAGCCAGTGAATATTTCGTTTATGGTGATTTGTTAGAGTCGTTTTACTTAATGAAAATGTTTTACGAATAATAATGGGTTGCTGAAAACGGTGTGTTCTAAGATGCTTCCATAATCATCTAAAATTGAGTGCCCAAGTTTATTACTGTGTATCTAATAACTGTTAATAATATATTTAAATCTCTATGAAAATAATTGTTTTATTTCTGTTTGGTCAAATTAACCGTGTGCCATTCCAATTTTCTACTTATGTATGAATGCATAGCTAATTGTTAACTTTAATCTTACTCGTAAGCTTTGCGTTATTAAATTTTTATAAATTCCAATATGTACCTATTATATTCATTTATTACTATTTCCATTTCAACTTTTTACGAATGTAGAATGTAATTTCTACATTCGTAGAAAATTGGAATGGAAATAGTAATATAAGTTTAAAATAAATAGAATATTGAATGTGAGGGTAGGCAAAGAGCATTGTACATATACACACGCACACATTCACAGAGTACTCTCGTGTGAGTGAATTGGTATATACACACACACATATAAATATTATAGTTGGCGTAACAATCATCAGGTGGCGCTGTTTCCAAGGAGCACCAGTTTTACTCGCAAGAGGGCTCTCTTCTTCCTTATATATTACTATACTCTTTGATACGGGGCGTTTCTAACTTTTGCGACCCGTTAACAAAATTGCGATAGTGATTCAAGCCGAGGTTCGTACCTCCTTCTGAGGGAACCTTGAATCGCATCGAGCCCCCCCCCCCCCCCCCCTAGCCCGAGGAGCCTCACTTCGAAAGCAGAGGTCGGGGTGGCTCGGGACTGCAGTACGGGTGTGACATTGAGTGAAAAAAATCGATTAATAAAAAATCGATTTTTTGCTTCGTGATAATAATCGATGTAAGAAAAATCGATTTTTTTATAAAAAAATAATCGATTTTTGAAAAAAAAAAATATTTTATTCGAAAAATAACCTTCTGATTTTAGAAATAAACTACAGAACAATTTTTTTAACATATAAATTTGAACAATAAAAAACTAAAAATAATTACTGCCACAAATGTTCAGTGCCATTTAACAATTTATTACAACCAAAATAAACAGAAACGATAAATTAAACTAAGTTTTACGGATTTTATCGCGTTTAATTTAACTTTTTAATTCCCGACATTTCAGGTGCTTTCCAGCACGCATGGTCACAGAGAGGACTGAGGTGTTTGACGTCCCTATGTCATAGTTGAACCACAAATCCTTGCAAAAGAGCACCGATTCCTACCAAGGATGATTCGCGAGGCTATCGAAATTAAAAAACATCCTAATTTCAATAGAGATGATGGATGGGTGCTGCCATCTGCTTGGCATCCTATAATTAATAAAATTAAATCCAAACCCAAGCATACCACTGTAAGACTTCACGATACTGTAAGCTCATTCTGCGTAGATCCACCAGGCTAACTATGAAATCTGGACGTCGAAGACCTCAGTTCCCCCCGTGACCATGGGTGCTGTGAAGCACCCGAAATATCAGGAATTAAAAAGTTAAATTAAGCGTGATCAAATCCGTAAAAATTAATTTCATTTAATGTGTAGTCTTCGCGTAAATATAAAAAACATTAAGAAACCATAATTTTAGTAAACGATAGTTTTTTTTTAAACTAAGTTTGAACAAACAAAAAGTCTAAATATCATTATGCCACTAATGTTCAGTATCATTTACATTGGATTAGAATGAAAATAAAATAAAAATATAATTATAAATAATCCGACGACAACCTTTTCATCTCAAAATTAAACTACAAGACAAATCTTTTTTTAAACTTGTGTAAACAAAAAAAGTAAAAAAATATTGCCATGAATTTTCAGTTAAAGACTTTAAGAACAATCATTTCACCAAAATTCTTCTTCGTCTCTTTCCCAAAATACCGTTTCGTTTTTTCCTGACAATATTTCCCGCTTTCAAAAATAATCTTTCGGCTGGCGCGGAACTGGCCATCACTGAGAGGTGTTTAAAAGCCAATTCGGTTAGTTTAGGGAAAGTTCCTTCAGAGCTTCTCCATATATTGAGGGCATCTGCCTTGAGATTTGATAGTGGTGCCGCAATATATAGATCTAATTCAGTATTTTTGCCTATTGACTTGTTGGCCGCTATCATTTTTTCATTTTTTTTATAGGATAAGGGTGACAAACGAGCACACAGTCCACCTGATGGTAAGTGGTTGCTGCGGCCCATAGACATCTACATCTATCCTCTATTACAAATCAAAATGCAGATGCGTTGTCACCCGTGAGGACTAACATGGAATGTCTTATTTCCAGTAAAAAGGGCCTCCGGCCACCTGCACTCACCAAGCGAAACGCAGAGGTAAACCTCTACTTCACGCTGGTATTCTGTGAGGTCGTGGTACCATCCCGGTTCAAGCCGGCCCATCCGTGCGACAGCACAAGCCGCCATGTGGCTCTACCACTGTGGAAATATTATAAAATAATTCTGTCAGTCACTTTTACGCGTTTTGCAAGACATTTTTATTGTTTATATATAATTGTTTACACTAACCAAAGAAAGAAAGAAAACCACAGAATACTTTTACTCCTAGCGGAGGAAGAAACCTGTTGAAAACATACGAAAAGCGAAACTGTTTTACATACATAGAGATACATAAAGGTGGCGCCGTCTTTTGATTGACTTATTCATGTTATTGAACTTACTTCACGTTTTTACATCCATCGCACAGATGACTCTGATTACAAAAATCGATTGAAACGCGTAATTTACATAAAAATCGATTTATTAAAAATCGATTTTTATTATAAAAAAAAATCTACTTCGAAAAATCGATTATAAGAAAAAAATAATCGATTAATATGAAAATCGATTATTTTTTCACATCCCTACTGACAGAATCGTTGCACTCAATGATTCGTAAGTCCTCACTTACGAGCCTAATTAGATAAAGCTGTCAAGGCCGCAGGGCCAACAGCATACATTTTGAGAAAAAAAAAATTTCGGTGGCAAGATCACAGGAATACGCTTGTTGGAAACATTTGTCGGCAACATCGGAAACAAATGTTGGTAACATTTTTTGAGCTGTAAACAGTTGGAAACATAAATGCATAAATGTTGTCACTTGTCAACATTTTTGGTGGATACGCGGCTTTATATCTCATTTACACATATCTATCTATCCTTGTCTAAAATACGATAACGTATCCGCCTCCTTGATAGCGTTCTGCCAATGGCGTAATTCCACATAAGCTTTTTGGAGAACTGTGTGAAGAATTAATTTTTCCTGCTGTGCGGTCGAGTATGTACGACGTAGGATTTTGTTTGTGTGAGACAATATATCAAAGAAAAGTTTTCTAGCGAATGCTTATCCTTACCGCAAATTAAGTGACAAAGAGTATGCGATTTACAAGACACTAAGCTAGGCGTGAGGTGTGAGTCAGGAGGTATATTTTAATCAAACAAAACAAAATGAGCGCTCCCATTATCATCACTGTTCCCAACAATTACCTGGCTATGGAGGAGATGGAGTCGAAGGTGATGGTTGACGTCGCGTCGCCATCACCTTCAAGAAAAAGGAGGCTTGATCATCTTACATGGGAGGAGAAAATGCAAAGAAAGTAAGTGTCGGATGTTTCATCAGCTGCTTGCGTGTCATATTTTTTTAATGGGAAAACTTATTTTATGAACTGTCAATTTTGTTAAATGAATCTTTCTATTTCATAAAATAATGATAGAGTAAGGTTTTGAAGAATTAAAAAATAAAGATGCAATTACTTTTAATTTGTTGAAATAATCAATATCAGATTGCAGACCAAGTTACACTGGACAGTTCCTTACATAGTTCATGACGTAATATTTCGATGGATTTCCTCATGACTCCGTTTCTGTTAATCAATATTTACGTATCAAGTACTTAAATTTACTAAAATTGCAAATTTTAAAAGCCAAACTTAATTGTTTTTTTTTGTTATAAACACCTTGAAAACATAGAATATTATAATTCTACTGAGGTACAATGGGAAGGGGCTGATGTGCTTTTCTTATCCCTCTTTAAATCTATTGTATTTTCATATTGTAGGAAATTGAAAAATCGTGTAGCGGCTCAGACTTCCCGTGATAGAAAAAAAGCAAAAATGGATGAAATGGAAAACCGCATCAAACATTTCATGGAGGTGAATGAGAAGCTTATAAGTGAAGTTGAGAGTTTGAAGGTACTATTGTCTGCTTATCTAAATTCTCTAAAAAATGTATCTCAATATTGTATAATTTGTAATTTTTTTATAAAGGTCATAATGTAAAAGAGCATGATTTTTATAAATGTAAATTATCATTTCGTTTTATACTAGATTATAGAATACTATTATGTTGTACAAATTTTTTTTCTAATGTTCTACTTATTTTATACATACACATGCATGTACTCCTTTTTATGTTAACCAAATAATGGTTTTTGCAGGCTTTGAATGAACGTCTGTTAAGTGAGAATGCAAAGCTACGTAGTGAAGCGGCGGCTCGCACCGTCGCGGGAGCCCCGGGACCAGCAGAGTCTCAACCTCGGCAGAAGGACGGGCTCCCGCCGGCGATGCGAGCGGCACGCCTACTGTTGGCGATGTGCCTCTTACAGACATCCTCGCCCACCTCGACTCTGAAGAGTATCTCGACACCCTCCAACAACTTGCAAACTCCCTCCTCCAAGAAATTGATGCAAGTGCTGCAGGAGCGGTTGAAGATGTACGTTTCTTTTATTTTCAATGATTATTCTGTTATTTAATAATTATCATTAATCTCAACTCTTCGGCATATCACTTAAATTTTAAATTTATTTAATTTTTCATACCAAAGTAGAATTGTAGCTAAGTCCCTACATGGTGCCAAAATTACCTATGCATTAAGAATATTACTTTAGATTAGATTGATTGCAACAGTATAATACATTTTAGTTTATGATTCATAGTTTACTATGATGCAATATTTTGCACTCTTGTATCATTAAACATGCTTTGACATAGTTCTTTACATTGTCTCAATTACTGCTTTTTTATTTTAATAAGACTGATGATAATATTCTAAACTGTTAAGTGAATTGTTTACTGATTAATTTATTTTTATCAAGCGCAAGTTGCAAGATTATTGCATCAGCCTGTAAAGTTTTGGACTCCATTATGTTTGATAAGTTACAAAACTACTTCCACTTTTTGTAAAAGCCCACTAATTTTTTAAATTACTTTGTTATAATAGGTCACAATCAGGGAAGCTAGAGAGTGCATTGAAGGAGCTCAAGTGGTGGGGACCACAACAAAGCAATTGGAATCCAGTAAAGGTGGAAGCATAGACACAAACACAGGATACAAAAGTGATGTTGACATCAAACATGATGTTGACAGAATAATGTCACAGCACTCTTATGCACATCCCCACCCCGACATCATAGTCACTAAACCCGAAGAAACAGAACAATTTAAGGAAGACAACTGGGATAAAGGAGATATCTTCTTCACAAGTGTTGATGAAGCAAATGATTGCATCACCATTGAAGTACCCTGTGAAGATCAAGTTGTGGAAGAAGTTATACCTGTCAGTACAGATATGGACTTTAAGTCTTTAACTAATAATAGTTCAGAAATAACATTAGAATGTGACATGAAGTTACTGTCACCAATGAGTTTATCCCCAAAACCAGAAGAGAATTTACTAGGATTGTCACCATCGCACACAATTCTTAGTTCAGACTTAGGTTATGAGTCATTGGCATCACCACTCAGTGAACCAGAATCTATGGACTTATCAGACTTTTGGTGTGAATCATTTTCAGAATTGTTTCCTGGCTTGACATAAGTTGATACAGGAAGTACTCTGAATTTTTTTCTTACCCAAAGACTGATTAGCTGTTAAGTTTAAATTGAAATCACAGATAAAATAAATGCCTAATTTTTAAGCTCATCAATGACAAATTATCTATAACTAAGTTAATGTTTTGTATTGGTAATGGTAATTATAATAATTAAGTTATTGTTTTATATAAACTAGATGTCCTGTGTGGGGTTGTACATAATTTTAGAGTGCTCTAAATAAAAAACAATTGTTTGTAGTCATTTTCTTTATTTTAGTAATAATGTTAAAGAAGAAGATTTGAGATTGACTTTAAGAGTTGGTCTGTAATCTCATTTGCTTCTTAACCTTATTGCTGGTGGATATTACAAACATTGTAAAACCCTTAATGAAAAATGAAAGAATTTTCATATCAAATTCATCTCTAGTCCATGAATCATTAACAAGGGGACATAACCTATATTTCTGCCTCCTTTACTGCTGTGTTTCTGTCTAAAGTGTGTAAAGAGCCAGTATACAGGCTGTGAGACTATTTATCCTTAGTCCTCGGAGGTAATAACGCATTATAGATGCCTTCTTTGTTTAAGTTTGTAAGGTGAACAGTAAGATTCGTTTGTCGCTTAAACTTTATGCCTCCTCTTAACAAGTCCACAGATGCGTCAGCGGACGTCCACAGATGCATCAGTAGATGAATCGGCACGAGACGTCCACACGTCTGCAGGTCCTTCAGTCAGTGTTCTCGACAGACGCAACTCGCACGAACGTAATATTAATAAAAAATGGATGTTGGGACCGTAATTGCAGCAGCTACTTATTTATTTAGTACTTTTAACTACTACTTGAGTGTGCATCGCAGTAGAGTTATTAAAAAGAAATGGAACTCGCAACTCCGATAACACTGATGCGTCGACAGATGTGTGCACAGACCCTTTGTTGCGTGCTACAAAAACCGACAAGAAACAGATTGGTGGCAGACGCATCTGCCGGCGTTAAAATACCTACCACAAACGAGCAAATTACCCCGTCTACACGGCGGACGCATTCCGCATATGACATCTGGTGACGCATATGTCAACGTGTCAAGGTTTTATAGAAAAAACGGAATAAAAATTGTAAGTAGGTGCATTCTCTTTTCCCCCATTCTCAGAGTGGGATGAGAAGATAATCCAACACGACCGGGGAGAGATCCTGATCTCTCCACGAGACAAGGAGCTTTACCATAGAGTACTTTTTATATACCTGGGCTTTACGTCATAGAGTACATTATATATAGGGGATTTTACGTGTTTTCCTAGAAGGGATTGAAACATCGTCAGACAGAAGAACCCAATAACTGATTTAGGCCTGACACGAGATTCGAACCCGGGACCTCATGATCAGCAATCACGTTAACGACCACTAGACCAACGAGGCAGTCAAATCCTCAAAGGAAAAGTATTAATGTACATAAGCAATACTTATAAGATTAGTATTGTTACGAGCTTGGGGTTCGAGACAATTAAAAACTGCCGAGTGAATTACCAAAATTGACACTTTAATTACAGAATACTAATTATAACTCAAAACCACACTATTAACAAAACAAAGAGGAGACGGCATAAGCAACTGTGCACTGTGATTCTAAGTAGGTCCTGAAGTCATCATAGTGGGCGTGGCTTTAGTTAGTATACTGTCAGCATTCGTCCTATGCGCTTATGTGTTGAAAATCGCAAATCGGTGTATTTTCGTAGTATTAAGAAGAAAAGGATGAGGTGTTGTTTTTTATCGTGTAAAAACTTCTCAGATAGACGCTCTGATGCTATGGATGGCATCACATTTAATTTGTAAGTAATTTTACACCTAATTTATTAAAATAATTCTAGAAAAATCTCTTTGCGTCGGCTTTCCAATATAATTAAATATATTCTACACTACATGGCTACACTTTGTGTCATGTGATAAAATAATTGTTTTGCATTCAATCCTAAAGAATTTTTAATCGTCAAAATATTATTTTTATAGTTTTTAAAATCATTTTGTGAACAGGCCGCCATCTATCGTCAAGATACCTAAACTTCATTGCAACATCGATATGGAACGATTCGAGTAGTTTTACTATTTATCGGTAGATGTAGATCGTATAAAGTGGGCGGGGCTTAACATCCCCTCACCCCGCAAATTGTCACGCGTTGTTACATAGTGAAATCTAATTACAACACCTCCTCTTTGTATTTGCTTCATGAACAAAACACAATTGTACTACTGATCACTTTAGTTCGCAGTTGTATCTCTTTGAAGTATTCGCTTGTATCCAAAGACATTTAAGTTAGCTATATATTTAAATCTCTTCGCCAATTCAATACTGACCGGATGTCGGTCTAAACCGGCCTTATATAGGGCCTCAGATAATTTCCAGAACCTTCTACTGTAGAGACATCTAGAATGTTCGAGTATATACCGGTCCCGACTGACTAGGTGTCGATAGTTCTTCCATGGAAATTTCTAGAAGGATCTTGACTCTCCTAGTTCTGCTACTCGATACTAGAAGGCGCTAGCGGTAACTAGTGTTTCCATGTACCACGCATTAGGTGTGGCGCTTAACAGTATCTAATTTTGCTTGATTTTTATTGTAGCAATTAAGACTGCTTTCACCTTTCACAGAGGTCCCATATAAATTTCAATTAGATTCATTGCCCAACGGACAGGTCGTACACTGGAACCATTTCTGCAGGATATGTTGAGCACTCAGAAACGATAACTCTACAGAAGCGACAACTCAAAGTAATTTGACAAGTAAATAAAGACGGCAGGTCATTTCCACCACACCAAAGTCATTGACATTATCACTACCAGTTAGATAGTTAGCACTAAATGTTTTACAATATAAGTAACTATAATGTCTTTGATTTATAATTGTAACATTAATGTTCATTACATTAGCGTTGCTATGGCGATGTACCACTGGCCCTATCCTCCATGAAGTGGTGGTGGTGTAGCTATGAGGGTAGAGGGAGTGGCTGAAACTTGGCGGAGCCATGGAGCAGATTCGCCTCTAAAGTAGGGAGTTCTCTTCTCCCGAGAAGATCGAGTGAGTCCATTTTTATTCAGTTAAATATTGCCTGAGTGTTATCATGATGTTTGTGTATAACGTAATATGCAGTCGCATTTATGACCACTAGATGACTATTAGACCAATGAGACAGTTGTGGAAAAAATAAATAAACATTACCTAATAAAACTAAATGTATTTGTTTGTAGGTAAGCACTATGTGTACAGTAGAGTAGAATCAATTATGAATAGATGTCATAGTTACTTTGGAACTTATCCACGCCTTAAAGTAATAAAAAAAAACTGCGATTGCTCACCTGCTTGCCAAGCATGGCAATTATACCAAATCCCCTTATGAGGCAGTCTGTGGGAAGGCCTATGTTCAGCAGTGGACTTTTAAAAATATTTTACATGTAACAAAATGTTTCGTTTACGTAATTACCATTGATATTTATAAATTATGGTCTATTATTAATATACCTATTATTAGACTGGAGGAAAAATACGTTTCACCTAATGTTGCGTGTTTACAAAAATATTTTACTTATTTATTGCTATTTTGATTCCATAAAAATGATTATATTTGGAAGTTCAGGACATAAATAAACAAAACGGATAATGAAAAAACATTAAATATATTTGTTAAAATACTTATTACATACAGATTCAATAAAATCATATATCTTGAATTTCATACATACTATCACCGTTAACAACGTAACAACTGTCAGTTGTACTTGTGGTTAACGTAAACCGCAGTCACAGAACTCATCATCATCATCAAGGGCCATTCAAAGCGTAGTTAAGGCGGCCACTTAAGATTCAAAAACAATTTGTGAAACTAACATAAATCCTCAGACTTGTCTTGTCTTGTCGTAATACTTATCTCTTTTAATAAATCATTTATTTTATTGATTCTATATAAATTGAAAAAAAAAATTACTTATTAAAAATATTTTTCTTCAGTACTCTAGTTTTCTGAACTAATCTGTGTAATTATGTCATATCGTAGGTGACGGCCTTAACGACATCGTACAGTTGTTTTACAAAACGATTTGGCACTCGCACCTAACGAACTAAATAGGCGATAACGATAATAGGCGTAATAAAAATACAACTCGCAAATAAGTCAGAAGCTGTACAACTTGGCGATTACGCTAATGGAAGATACTGTTACTTAGAATAAAAATATGCAGTTAATTTGAACAAAGCATACAACATAAAATGTACCTACTTACAATTATTTATCGCCGCTAATTATTTAAAACAAAACAGTACTACCATAAAACCTTGTGATAGTTGCAGCCTGCTCGGCTTCAACGAAATAGCAATTTAAAAAAAATATGTCTAGATTCTTAAATAAAAAGTTTGAGAAATAACGATAATTTCCCTTTTTATTTTAATTCTATTGACCTACATATTGAGGCCCAATATTTAATAAATATTGAATTTTCCGTATTATAAAACCGTTTTTTACTGCTTTATAAAACCGTTGATCAACCAGTTGATAAATCTACCCGACACTTTTTTGACAGAGGAAAACAAATCAGGAGATAGGCAGTAGCGTCTTCTTAATAATGATAAAAAAATAACTAACAATGGTAAGTTTTTAGGATGGGATATTTGCCAAGTGTGGCAACTGTGGCAAATATCCCCCTTATGGGGCAATCTATTGGGGAGGCCTATGTTCAGTAGTGGACTTTGGCTATCATGGTAATTCACCTGTCTTTCTTGGTATAAATTTAACTCTTGGTATTTAATGGTGTAATGAATGAATGGTAGTACTGTGTCAACAATATAATATTATTAAATCACCCTCGTTATCGAAAAACTGTCTGTGACATTTTCGATTAAACAGCACACATTTTTCATAGGTAATTTTTATCAACATTAATATTTATAAATTTTATATCAAGAAAAATTTTAGTCAAAACACAACTAATTTTTATGTATCGCATGCACCGTTTAGTCACCTTTCACTAGTACTATCGAAATTTTAATTACAAATCTATCAATATTATTTCTTAGTAATAAATACTCCTATTCTTACCACAAGGCTTTCTCAAGGTGCTTAGTTTTACTTTGAGCGACAGATATAAACTATTGATCAACGTATCATAAGAAACAGAATATAGAAATGGTTATGGTCCACAAAAATTAAATCATGAAATATTATAGCTTATTATTTTTAGGACAGAGGTTACAGCAGATAATTTTTTGAACAGAGAACTTAAATATAAAATTAGTTACCTAATTAATATAATTGTATCTCAATGAAATATTACAACCATAATAAATAAAGTAACAAAAAAGTTTTTTTAATGTTTTATAATTCAATAACTGTGTAAAATATTCATTAAATTTTTTATTTATATTAATTCCTGACAAGGAGTCATAAATTTAGTTTTAGTTGAATTATACTTAGGTACTTTCTTACTTACATATTATATGTTACAGTATATAGAATGATTTTATTATGGAAATTTAAAGTTTAGAACATATTTCTTTCTTAAAATCAATACATTCAAATAGGCTCTTTAATTATTGTAACCTGTGATTGTACATGTGCAGAAAGTTGTGATGTATCAGAACCTGGCGTATAGCGACTGTATGCTAAAATAATTATAAAGCCATCTGAAGATTTAAGGCGCTTATCCAAACAGCTTGTCAAAGCAAGCATGGCAATACGGCTTATCATTCTGCTCTTTGAATGTGCCTTTGTTGAGTTGTCGGAGGCAGAAGGCACAGACGAAATGTTCTGGATGGAACTTTCTGAACATGGCGGTGATGCAACGTCCGGCGATCGGTTTATGGCAGCCGGCGCAGAGGGAGCCACGCTTACCGTGGTAATGCGTTTCGCAGTACGGTTGACCTTCGTGCTCGAAGAATGATCCTCCATGGAATGGTTCGCGACATTCCTGTAATAAGAAACATAAGAATGTTAAGATTGTGAAAAATTATTCCCTTAAAATATTGAAACACATAATATATTAATGTGACGTTGTCCACTTTACTTTTATTGATAATAATATTAAATACTTAATTATTAATATTTAATAGTAATAAAAATGTCTGAAAATGTAGGGATTCTTAACAATTTATTTAATATTTGTGCCCTAATGTGTGAGTGAAATGCTGCGTGCGTAGACACTTCGGCGACCTCTTATCTCTTGTTTAAAGTCGGGCGGCATCTCTATATCCGGGGGAGTAGGACTCTATGATAATTTTAGTTTTTAGTTATAATTTTTTTATTATGTTAATAAACATTGTATGTTTTAAATGTGTAAATAAATGATTTTGTTGTTATTATTTAAATTTTAGTTTGAGTTTAAATCTAATGTATGTATCCGATTGTTTATTTATGAGGAGCGATCAAGTAAAAGTATCGTGATTATAAACTTTGAAGGTATATACTCGTATTTTTCTCTAAAAGAATCACCACCGAAGAAATAATGAAAAAAGTTGAAATAATTTTACTGATAATGCACGAGGAGTTAAAATGTTAGCAGTAATAATCAAGTTACTAATCTTTAATTGAAAATATACACAAAACAAGCGCAAGTTGACTACTGTAAAGATTTTTTTGATCTTTTCAGTGAACACCTACACCGTCTTACAAAACATGGTTTATTGATAGGCTTGGGTTAAAACTATGGTTTAAAAAGGAAGATTCACGATCTCACGAAGGAAGATCTAGCAAATTGACGTTTGTTGTCTAATTTCATACTTTACACTTCCATGCCATACCTACCATAACATTTTAATTAACATATTTTTCACGGGACCTCTTCATTGAAACAGATTCTAGTTTATATCTGAGACTAATTAGAAACTAATATTTTGTAATAAGTCGGATAACGTTTATATGAGCGAATAGTTATCAGAGTTAAAACCCACGTGGGTCAGCTAACTACGGCCAACAGCAAACACAGTTCATGCAATGGCATTTATAAAGGCCACCGCACAAAAAAAAATATCAAAGTAGCCGGATAGAAATATTAGGTGAGTCGCAGATGGTAATGGAGATAAAGATAACTGTAAGCAATGCAATCATAATCATACATTATACATAAATCTTTCAATTAAGTATTATAATGTAGCAGGTGTTTTCTGTACAACGACATATTATGTTGTTTTTGTGCATACGTTCGTTCGTCATCGTTCCGCCGGCATCGGATATATATATATTTTTTATTATTTTTAAATATTTTTTCATTGGCAGCGGTCCATGTAATTTGAATCAATGTTTACAGTTGAGGTTATATTAATTAAAAAATAGGAATACTATCGTATAATGTGTTTCTGCTTGCCATTTTATCTTATCTTATAAAAGTGGTAATAATTCAATTTAAATCCGTGTTAACGCAAATGCGTAAATTAATTTTAACAGCTTTAATCGCCGTGTGGTGGCGACACCCATTTGGTTTCGTAGACATTGTTAGAGGTAGCTATGAGAAATGCCCGGGAAATAATAAATATGTCTTCCGATAGATTTTTTTATAGAATAGGTGGTATAAGAAAAGAGAAAATAGGGCTTGCTAAAATTCTATGTCTGGGATAGTGTATTCTCGTTAGATATCGTAATACGCGTTGGAAACGAATTTGCTGGCTGGATAACTATACCTACTTTAAGTAAAATACGAGCTTTATGCTTCTCGTGAGACTAAATTAAATAACTTACAGAAATGAAGTATATTATATTGCGTACACATATGTGGCAGTAAAAGTGATTTCATTCATCATTATAGCCTGTCAAAAGACAACTGCTGAACATAGGCCTCAACTAAATATTGCGTCAAAGGGGAGAATTTGATATCAAGTCATTTTCTACAATGGATTTCTTTAGAAAAAATTGCTATAAAATTAATTAAAGATATTATAATTTGTATTATGAACGGTGAAGTGAAGTTTCAAAATGAAAAGACCTGCACAAACGAGAATTTCACTAGTGTATCGATTCTTTATGTTAATCGATTTTTGACACAAAAATGTTTAGGATCTTTTTTCGTTATGCGAATAATGTTTTATTTGTAATTGGATTCAAATATCATTCAAAGTAAATATTATAATTTTAATGACACCTTTGAAGATTTTCTAAATTATTTTTTATTTTTATGTTTTGCGAATTCCAGATTGTAAAACCAGATAGTTTTTTTGTATTTTACTTCAGAAAAATAAAGCCAATTTTTTAAAGTATAAACCAATTTGTTAACTTGAGGCCCAAAAATCTCATTCTCCTTTGCTACTTTTAGTAGGGTCTCTTAAAACTTGATTGGTACATTATTTTGCAATAACCGGGCAAATTTGCACAGAAAGTTCAGAAAAAGTGCAATAAGCAAATGGTGAATAAAAATCCATGAAAAACAATCTCAAGCATTCTGTCCTTTTTATCTTTTAAATTCAAAATGCGTGGAAATGCATTATTTTAACTGATTTTACTGCGCACGCACACATTCGTAAGGGTTGATCGGTAGGCTAAAACGTTGTTGCCCATAAATCACATTCAATTTGAGGTAATCTATACATCTATACAAATAAATAAAATTGAAGTGTCTGTTTGTAATGTCAAAATTACAGTTTTTTACTAAATGCATATGAAAGTATAAACGGTACTAATAACAAAAATACAATGTTTAAAGTTTTTGTCTGTCTGTCTGTCTGTCCATCTGTCTGTCTGTTTGTTCCGGCTAATCTGCGAAACGGCTGAACCGATTTTGAGGGGATTTTCACTGGCAGATAGCTGATATCACAAGGAGTAACGTAGGCTACTTTTATTTTAGAAAAAGAATTAGGGTACCGCGCAAAAAAATTAAAAACCCCAAATAACACACGGGCGAAGTCGCAGGGAACAGCTAGTTTCCAATAAAAGTAGAAGCCTTATTAACTCGTATTTTCAAAAACTGCAATAACGGTATATCATTATTATTATATTTGAACTTAAGTTTAAAATTTGGCTACTCTTTGAAAAATAAGCCTGTATATATATTATGTATGTATATATTTCAAATTCTCTATTTATCTATCAATATGAAATTAGATTTTCTACAGATTTTATCGCGTTTAGTCAACTCAGGTTCAAATTATTGAAAATTGTCAACTCAGCTTAAAATTATTAATTTTTGGTCCGATCTAAGCAGAAGGAACACGCAGGAAAAGTCCTTTCTGCATAGGTGTATTGTTGACTTAAATATAAAAAATCGAAATTACTAACATTAACGACATAATGTGTTGGTTTTGGTTTGGGTTTATGTTGCCATAAAAAAAACATTAATAGTATTGTTGCGCGCCACTATTAATGTCTTGTCGCGAACCCCAAGCTCGTGACAGTATTACTCATCGCACAATCTGGACATGATAGATTTGCTATGGTCAATTTATTCACCGTATTTAAGAATTAAAATTAAACTTGAATTATATCTTGTTAATACACCATTCATTGATGAAACTTTTACCTAATTATAATATAGTATCTATACATATATCTAAACTAGCAAGCAATCCGAGCTCCGCAGTGAATGATTCAGAAGCTATTTTTGTATTACAGAACAGGGTCATAAGTAATAGGCATTTATAACTCAAAACAAAGTCTCCTTTTTTATAGAATAAGGGTGACAAACGAGCACACAGTCCAACTGATGGTAAGTGGTTGCTGTGGCCCATAGACATCCACATCTATCCTCAAAATGAAAGAAATGAAATGAAAAGAATCAAAATGCAGGTGCGTTGTCACTCGTGAGGACTAAGATGGAATGCCTCTTTTCCAATAAAAAGGATCTCCGGTTCTCTACACTCACCACACGAAACACAGCAGTGTTAGGTTGCTATTTTACGCTGGTATTATGTGAGAGCGTGGTCCTTCCCCGGTCGCGCCGATCCATTCGTGCTACAACTATACTATTAATATAGCTGCAGCATGGCTCTACCACGTTTAGAGAGAAAGTTTAAAGAAATAAATTCAGGTACATAAAAACAAAACACCGATTTTTCAATCCTTAGAATAAAAGTTATCCATCAAATAAATTAAAACCTGGCACAATTTTAAAGTGAAAGAAATTTCTTCGTGTTTTGTTGTTCTATGTTAACCGTTTTATGTGATTGAAAAATTAGCATCTAATAAAAAGTAATCTTATACTTAGTACTTATACTCAAGTGAGTCAAGTGATCAATTCTTGTATAAAATGTAATTGGTTTCTCAGAAACGGTTATAACGATTTGGATGAAATTTTCTATTTAGGTAATGTTTTTTTTTTTATAGGAGAGTGGGCAAACGAGCATGCGGCTCACCTGATGGTAAGTGACTACCGCCGCCCATGAACAACTGCAACACCAGGGGAATCGCAGATGCGTTGCCGGCCTTTTAAAAAGGAGTACGCTCTTTTCTTGAAGGTCCCTAAGTCGTATCGGTCCGGAAAAATCGCTGATGGTAATCGATTCCACAAGGGGGTCGTGCGAGGAAGAAAACATCTTCTAAATCGCACAGTGGTGGACCGCCAATCATCCAGATGGTGTGGATGGTATCGGGAGTTCTGCCGCGATGTGCGTTCGTGAAATTTGGCGGCTGGGATTAATCCGAACAATTCCTCAGAGCACTCCCCATGGTAGATGCGAAAGAAAATGCAAAGGGATGCAACATCTCTTCGCAGTGCCAATGAATCGAGCCGATCGGAAAGGGCTCGGTCGTCGACAATTCGAGCCGCTCTGCGTTGGATGCGGTCAAGTGGAAGGAGCTGGCACTGGGGAGCCCCTGCCCAGAGATGGGAACAGTATTCCATGTGAGGCCGAACCTGCGCCTTGTAAAGTAGCAGGCGGTGTGCCGGCATGAAATACTGTCCCGCTCTGCTGAGCACGCCAAGCTTTTTAGAGGCCAATTTGGCCTTCTCTTCCAAGTGACCACGAAACTGCACGTCACTCGATATGTCGACTCCGAGAATACCGATACTGGCTGAGGCAACAAGGGGAGTACCTTGAAACTGAAGAGATACGACAAAGGGGTTCTTTTTAGCGGTAAACGCGCAAACTTGTGTCTTCTGAGGATTAAATTGGACTAGATTTAGTCGCCCCCAATCCGAGACTTTGTTCAGCAAAGACTCGACTTCAGACACAAGTTTGTTCCGGTACTCAGCGACGTTTTCCCGAGAAATATTGGCACGGCCGGTGTATAGAGCATCACCAGTGCTGTCATCCGCATAGCAATGAATGTTACCAGTTAGCAACATATCATTGATATGCAGAAGAAACAGCGTTGGTGATAGCACACAGCCTTGTGGAACACCAGCGTTAATAGGCTTGTAGTCAGAGCATGCACCGTCTACAACGACCTTGATGCTCCGATCTGCAAGGAAGCTGGTGATCCAATTGCACAATTTCTCGGGAAGCCCATAGGAAGGGAGCTTCGAAAGAAGCGCTTTGTGCCAAACCCGATCGAAGGCCTTCGCAATGTCCAGACTAACGGCCAACGCCTCCCCCTTGGACTCTACTGCCTCCGCCCATCTATGGGTCAGGTAGACCAGAAGATCACCAGCTGATCAACCCCGACGAAAACCGTATTGGCGGTCACTAATCAGCTGGTGATCCTCAAGGTACCGGATGAGCTGGCAGTTAATAATGGATTCCATTATTTTGGAGAACAAGGAGGTGATCGCGATAGGCCTATAGTTGGATGGGTCTGAGCGGTCGCCTTTTTTAGGGATCGGGTGGACAAAAGCTGTCTTCCATGAATTCGGGACTACGCCTTGGGAGTAGGAGTACCGGAAAAGATTTGTTGTTTGTTTTACTTTCTAAGTTTATCTACATAGATTTTATCCCTGAGTAATTTATTTCTAACGCCCTGCAAAACTATGTCACCCAGGTACTATAATAATACAAGCACTAGGATAACATAAGTTAGTGATACCAGTTACTTGACTCAAAAAAAAGTCCCAGTAAATAAACAAGGTCTGTCTAACGTTGTCTATCTTCATGTTAATTATTTTGATTTAACAAATTCTATGTAAAATGGGTTATTATATGTACATAGTCCCCAGGATTAAGGTCGTCTTTTAATAGTAATTATGCAGCCTATTTCATTGTAAAATGTAACCTACTATGTAAAAAAAAACAGTGAAGCTGCGTTTCTTGCTGGTTCTTCTTATGACTGAGGACCGAACCGGTGGTAAAAGAAAAATGATTTTCAATAAGAACGAATGTTATTCTATTTAACTCTAAAACGGAAAATAGACCAAATTTTTACCCATTTGCCCCAGGAAATAGCGTAATGTTTTTCGAGTATAGCGGAAATTCTTACACGGTCCCTACCCGGTCTTACTACACAGTACACTAATGAGAAAAAATGGTGTGATTGCATATAGTCACATTTTCTTAATAAAGTTCAAGTTTGTTGAGCCAGTGGATGAGTTTATGTCTTTATAATGTGTGATTAGCAGGGATGGTAGACATGTTAAGGATGTAGAACGATGACTGAACGCAGCACACGGAGGGAATGGGCCTCTATGAGCTCTCTACTCTATTGTGGGACGACTCTGAATGACAGGATGAGAAATTGTGTGATAAGAAAAAAATAAGGATTGAAAAATGTGCAATACTAAAAAAAATTAATGAGGAAAGGATGACAAAGCAAATTTATGCTGCAGAACTGAGTAACAGAGTCAATGAGGAACGCCGTAGACGGAAGTTTATTGGCCAAGTTGGCGATATATTGAAAAGGGATTGAGTTAACTGTATGCGTAAACATAATATGAATGTATGTAGAGGAGGCGGGAGAAGTGTGTCGGGATCGTGCCGAATGGAAGTCCGTAGTCTCTGCCTATATTATGTACGCGCTTCGAATGTTGAATTAGTTTATTTATGAAATCTTTTGATAAAAATAATAGCTTAGATTTTTTTTATTTATTCTATTTGCGGCATAACAACGCACGGATATAGTGTAACATGATAAAAATACCATCTTGTCAGATGGCTCATAAACAAATCGGCCTGGTTTGCGCCGTCAACGTGGCTGCGGACTCGCCATAACGTCACACTAGCGACGTCTATATATAGAAGTGAGGAAACTTTGAACGATACTTGACCCTATTTGCGTTTTTTTTTTATTTTCTACTGTCGCTACATTTGCAACATTATAGGAGGTCAATGCCACGGATGGTCGCGGCCTTGACGGTGACGAACGGTGACCTTCAAGCAGTCAACGCGTCACGAGTTCAAAAGCCCGCGCTTTTTAAATGTTATCTGTCATTTTTTAATTATATTTTTTTATTTTTTTTTTATTTTTTTTAAATCTTTATTATAAATCTTAACGTTACAAATACATTATAAAATATATTACATAATTTATTACTTCCTAATAAGTACTATCGACTAGTTTCTGATACTTTTTTGTTTTTGAATAAGTTTTGTGTAATATACGTGTGTATGGTGTGTTTGAGACATCCGTTGTCACGCCGATGCGGCGAAAGCATAGCTGTAAGAAAAATTTTGGGGAGGGCATTCGTTTCATAGGGGAGGTGGTTTTAGTGTCATTCTTTATTCATCTTCATCCACTCCGACGCATGTTGGGCATACTGGCTTCCCTTCCATGGCATAAAATGATTTCCCTTTGACTGGGTTTTGACATTCCTGTGTGATCGAAAAACAAAGTTAACTTTGTAAAATGCATACCTTCTAAACATTCATAGAGAGCATGTTGATTTTTATAGAAAGTTTTATACTTAACCTGGCGTAGACGCTAAGCTGAAACATTTCGAAATACTACACCTGTCATATAGCTGCTTTGTGACCTCGATTTTTTCCTGATAATCAAGACTGGTACTGACCTTACAAACGAAGCAGTCTGGATGCCACTGGGTGTTAAGTGCGGAGATGTAGTTTTCCATGATAGGTTTGCTGCATCCACCGCACTTAGGGGCAAACATGTCGAAGTAATCGGCGCGGCAATAAGGCTTTCCGTCCCGTTCGTGGAACCCTTCTTCCCCAAACTGCTGGCCGCATTGAGCACAGAAGAAGTGCTCTGTATGCCAGGTCTTCTCTAAAGCTGTCACGCATTTCTGTGAACAAAAAGAATACAATTTTGATGAGACTTGTGCATGTTTTCTTCTAAAATATAAGGATTGATGTCTTGAAACTAACGTCGAGGATTGGTCCGTTGCAGTATGCGCATCTTGGCGAGAACAGATTATGGTAATCCGGTTCGCAGTACGGCCTTCCATCGCGCTCGAAGAAGTTCCTAGTTCCCAACTCTTGGTTGCAGTGAGCGCATGTGAAGTGCTCAGGATGCCATGTGCGACCCAAGGCGGTGATCACCTGCACAAAAATGAATATTGTAGTCACTTCGGTAACAACACTTTAACTAAAAGCCACGACTTGCTTCCACTAGTTAAATTTAAAAGTTATCGAATTTCCAAGTCGTGCTGTTTTCAAAGACGTATCCACCTGCCCAACGATGGGCTTCTCGCAGGCGTTGCAGCATCCCTTCTGGGGGGTTTGGACTCCTTGGCGGCTCATGTCTGCCCGGAGGGATCCGAGCATATGCTCCAAAGACGCGGACTCTGCTTGGCGCGGGTTGCTGCGGTACTGTTCCTGCCACGCGTGCTTCTCCCGGTAGACGTGAGCGCCACTATCCGTCGGCGCACTGCTCACCTGGGGGGAACAAACAAGATTTTTGTCTTTACTGCCGCTTCAGATTTAACAGCAGTTAACGGAACGGCTCCGATCTTAAGATCGAAGTCGAAGTCTAGGATTGGTAACGTACAGAAAAGAAACCGGCCGGTGGTAGTGGACTGGAGTGAATGCGGCCCGAGTGAAATCTTTAACTATGTACTCTAATATTAAATGCTCGCGGCCCCACTACGCCTGTGATGTAACAGTGCGTACTATCTTTAGACGCGAGCGTTAGAACGGGCGAGAGGGAGACAGCACCGCTGGAGTGGACCGCTCCCGCGGCTGGAAATAGCCGTCGACCAAGAAAGGCGACTTGTAAATATTATAATAAACGGAAAATCGGGTGTTCATTGGTGCAGTGTGCCGAGACGAACCTGACAGTTGACTAGCTATTTTGAACTTTGTAGTTATGGGAATAGCATTGGTGTTTTCAAGGTAAAGAGCTGGCCTTGCCATTGTTTGTCCTAATTAGAAATTAGGTCTTTCGCATTTACAAAGAAGCACCGAGAATATGAGCTTAGTAAGAGGGGTTAAGTTTACATTTATTTCTGCCTTTGTAAACGTCTTGGTACCGCGATGACTCATGCAAATGTGTTTATACTAATCTGTACACATGTACACGTTTACTTTAATGAAAACCGACAACTATGGAGTAAATAAAAGCCGGTATTACGAACGAAATTCGGGTTATGATATGTCGACGCGTTGAAAGTAATATATATAAAAACAATCGTAATATGAGGTCAAGTATCTATCGTTTTGGCAGCTTCGTTTACTGCTGGATGTTTAAGTCCACGACAAAGGTCGTTAAATAATAAAACGCTTTTGAAACTAAATTTCTGTATTATGTGTGTACACAATAATACAGATCTGTTAGCTTCAAAGTAGGAATTAGACAAATAAAATATAATGGTTTATAGATGGTTTGTCTAATCCAGTGGATGGTTGGTCTAATATTATTGTATTATTGTTTTTTTTTTAATAGTAATACAAAAGGCCTAATAATTTGTAAAATGTAATAGTAAAATTTTAAGATAAATTGAAATAAGCAATATGATTCTTACATTTTACGGATTGTTTTCTCAAATTATCATAACTTATCTATGCAATATTGTTATTTACAAAAATAGAAATGTAAATTACGGCGGTATAATTAAATCATTATACGCGTAATTCATTGATAGTTCTTCAAAAGTTGCTTAAACCAAGAATCCCAAAAAGCCTTCCGTGCCACACAAGGATATGGGGTTACCAACTCGAAATTAGAATAATTAAAAAGTTACTTTAATTATTTAATAATAATTGCTGCTTCAAAACTTGCTGTCATCAAAATAAACAGTTTTGTTTCACGAAAATCGTTTTTAGTAAAGACTCATTGAGTAAATCGATTTTAGTTGTGATTATTAATTTGGTTTCTTTCTTAACTCTAAATACGTCAATGAGAGTCAATATAATTTCACCTTTCTTTCGTGTCATACACGAACCCAAGTTCCTTATAGTGAAGCTGACCATCCGCTTGTCGTTATATCTAATAAACTGGAATAGAAGAGAACAGAAATAGGGCAACAAAACTCACGCATACGGTCCTAAATGATCAACAAGTAACGGTAAGTTGCCAGCATTTGTTTTTCCATCCGATACGAGTAACAATGTGAATGTCTTCAAGGCTTTTGTGTGCGCTTCTTCGCCTTCGGCTGCGTTACCACTTACCGTCAAGTGGAATAGTAGTCACGCGCTGGCTTAGGCTGATGCATAAGTTATAAGCAGTGTGTAGTCACCTTGAAGTCAGAGAGTGAAGCCATAAGGTCATCGAGCTCCTTCGTAGCGCTGGATGCATGATGATGATGGCGGGTCGCGATCGTCGGTGGCGGTTGCTGTTGTGCTTGGGCTGGCTCCACCACGGTCTCTTGCACCGTCACCGTCACTTGTTTGGTGCCGGGACGTGGTAAAGTGCCTGACGATGGCGGAACCGGTGATACGGATGTACGCCTAGAAAAGAAATCACTAGTTAGTAAAGCAAATTATTGGATTAAGATTGTAGTTTTTATTTATGTTAAAAAAGCTGCCACGCAAGCATATCGTTGAAAGTTGAATTTTTCATAGAGCTGTATCAAGCTAACCCAAAACAATTTTGTGTAGGCCAAACATATACTTTTTCCGTGCAGGAGTAGAACCCACGGCCCGCAGTGTCGTTAGCACATTGTTATTGCGCTACAAAGCTGTCAAGCTTGATTCGGACTCGGTTCAAAATAATTCTAATAATATTTTGATTTACCATGTTGTGGCGGCCTGAAAGAATCCGCTACCCCATATTCAGCAGCATATCTATCTATACAAATAAATAAAATTGAAGTGTCTGTTTGTAATGTCAAAATAACATTTTTTTACTAAATGCATATGAAAGCATATACGGTATTTCTAACGAAAACACAGTTTTTAAAATTTTTGTCTGTCTGTCTGTCTTTCTGTCTGTTTGTTCCGGCTTATCTCCGAAACGGCCGGACCGATTTCGAACGGACTTTCACTGGCAGATAGCTGAAGTTATAAGGAGTAACTTAGGCTACTTATATTTTAGAAAAATAATTAGGGTTCCGCGCAACATAATTAAAACCCTTAATTACACGCGGGCGAAGTCGCGGGGAACAGCTAGTACTCTATACAAATTACAAACAGACACTTCAATTTTATTTATTTGTATAAAGTACTAGCTGTTCCCCACGACTTCGCCCGCGTGTAATTTAGGGTTCTTTTTACTAAATCCAAATGAAAATATATACTGTACTTATAACAAAAACAAAACTTTTATTTTGTCTGTCTGTCTATTTGGGCTAATCTCCGAAATGGTTGGGCCGACTTTGTCGGGACTTTCACCGACAGATACCTGATGTTATAAGGAGTAACTTAGGCTACTTCTATTTTAGAAAAAGAATTAGGGTTCCGCTCAAAATAATTAAAACCCTAAATTACACGCAGGCGAAGTCGCGGGGAACAGCTAGTTCGTGATAAAATTTAAAGTCATAAAAAACTGCGGTTGTCAACCCAATAAGGCAATCTATGGGAGAGGCCATGAATTCAAGAGTACACCGATCTCTCCCCACTTAAGCCGTACCAGGAAATAGAACTGCTTTTCCTCCTAGGTGTCGGTCTGGGTACTCTTACCTATGTCTGTTGACACATAGCAGTGCCTGGACTGCTGTGTTGCCGTCTGAAGTATAAAAGAGAACTTCTATAATAACAGGTTGTGAGGCATTGAATCTTACTCCTAAGAACGGACAATGCACTCCCTTCTTCATAGCATTCTATGTTTGAAGCTGGCAACAAGTGTCCATGGACAACAGTAGCCACTTATCAGACTAGCTGTTCCCCGCGACTTCGCCCTCGTGTAATTTACATTTTTAATTTTATTGCACTGTACCCTAATTCTTTTTCTTAAATAAATGTAGCCTAAATTACTCCTTATAACATCAGCTATCTGCCAATGAAAGTCCCATCTAAATCGGTCCATCCGTTTCGCAGATTACGCGGAACAAACAGACAAATAGACACAGACAAAAATTTTAAAAATTGTGTTTTTGTTTAAGTACCGTATATACTTCCTTTATATACTAACTTTAGTGAACAGATGTTATTTTCAATTTACAAATAGACACTCCAATTTTATTTATTTGTGTATACTATATAGATGAACTGTAAGTTCGTTTTTCACTTCAGTTTTATAAAAACGGTAGTCAAGGCAATTGCCCATGTTAAGACACAATAATATATGATATCAAATCGTAAGAATAACTTGGCAATAATTAGCGCTACATTATTTATAATTAGTTGTAATATTCAACGAAATTTGTAGCTATAGAAATAGATAAATCAATTTCGCGCCAGACAGCCAATTAATTCACAACTCTAAAATGAAGCATTAATGTAAATAATGTCATTGCAAAGTCGAATAGAACTCACATTGTGACATTGGACACTGCTTTATTTGTGACAGGTGCATTTTCTGAATTGTAAATTAACTCTACATAAATATGTAAGCCATTACTTCCAAGGAATATATCTGATATCTCATATTACTTATACCATATGACATGCTATATGTCACATTTAGTCAAACTAAAATCTCATCTTCTTTTCTACTACTGTTTAATAGCGATCCGCTCCGGCTTCCCCTGGATAGGATCTATTAATGTGGTGTTATTTAAATTTAAGGTAATCAAAGACCTCGCCCACGCCCACGCTGTAGCGTTCATTTTATTAATTTTTTAGTTATTTTCATACAAAAATTAAGTTATTCGCATAAAATAGTCTAGATCCCTTCTGGCATTGGTCTCTATCTGTTCGTAAAGTTTCATCATAATCGGTTAGGCCATTACGAAGATGGAACCTGGAGAGACATACAGACATACAAATAAAAATTATACAAATGGCTATTCAAGTCTTAATGGCATGCAAATAACCCCCTGATTTCGATAGAAGGCAGTTATTTCTATATTACAGACAGACATTTCAATTTTATTTTTATATATATGTTTAATAAGAAGAATTATAATTTTTGTTGTGGTAAATCTCAAACAGGTAACGTGGTAGAGCCACGCTGTGGCGTTATTAATTTTTCTGCATAAGGCATCGTTCCAGGAAAGGAGCAAGCTCTCACAGAATATGAGCGTAAAACAGTAGCATCCATCGTGAAATAGAGGATCACATAAAACAAGGGATCCATCACGTAGCTTCAACACTAGTTAGTGAACTTCATCATCATTACAGTCTAAAAAAATGCGGTGGGCGTTGCCTCACTGGGGTATATTTGCCACAGTTGCGACGTTTGGCAGACCGCGTTTTTTTATTATTTTGAGTCGTTAATAGGAAGACGCTGCTGGCCATCTCGTTTCAGATTCCCTCTGTCGCCTCTTACGACACCCACGGGATAATTTAAGGTAGTGGTTTCTCTTACGCCGCATACTTCACGACGATAGTGAATTTCATTTTTCCGAAAATAATTATAATCCATACATCCAGGCATAGATGTGATTCAGTGCCTAGAAGACTGCAATGAAGTGGACGATTTGAATGACAAGCTCGTGGAAACTGTCCATGCGGTCGGAGCTAAGTTCTGCAAGACCCGCCGCAGAAGAACACAAAAACTCTCCGATCACACTCTTAATCTCATGGCTGTTAGACGGGAGATGAAGCTACATTCTTCAACAGATTTAACAGCATACAGGCAACTGAACAGACAGATCTCCAAATGCATGCGGCGGGACTTACGCAACTTCAATACAGCTCGTATTGAAGAAGCGATCGAGCGGAACCAAGGCTCCAAAGTCTTTGCCAGAGATCTGTCTGCCAGAAAGCGCCAACTGTCAAAGCTGAAGACAGAATGTGGCAGCATCGTTTCCGGGGCACCTGAGATTTTGAGTGAGATTGAGAGGTTCTATGGGCAGCTGTACACGTCATCATTGGAGCCGCACGCAAGTGTGAGTAACGATCCAAGAGCGAGTCTTATCCGACATTATTCCGATGATATCCCGGACGTCAGTCTGAGCGAGATTAGAATGGCTCTCCAGCACCTTAAAAACGGCAAGGCCCCAGGCGAGGATGGAATTACAGCGGAGCTTCTGAAAGCGGGTGGAAAACCGGTACTTGAAGTCCTACAGAAGCTCTTTAATTCCGTCCTCCATGGTGGCATTACACCGGAGGCGTGGAGCAGAAGTGCGGTGGTCTTGTTCTTCAAGAAAGGCGACAACGCTCTCTTGAAGAACTACAGACCGATTTCCCTTCTGAGCCGCGTCTACGTGCTGTTTTCGAGAGTCATTACGAATCGTCTCGCGCGCAGACTTGACGACTTCCAGCCTCCCGAACAAGCCGGTTTCCGAAAAGGCTTTAGCACCATTGACCACATACATACCCTTCGGCAAATTGTACAGAAGTCCGAGGAGTACAATTTGCCACTATGTCTGGCGTATGTGGACTATGAGAAAGCCTTTGATTCCGTCGAAATTTGGGCGGTGCTGCAGTCCCTTCAGCGATGCCAAGTTGACTGTCGGTATATCGAAGTGTTGAAGTGCTTGTACAGTAGGGCTACGATGGCTATCCGAGTACAGAACCAGAGTACGAAACCTATCCAATTGCAGAGAGGTGTAAGACAGGGTGACGTCATATCCCCGAAACTCTTTACCGCTGCATTGGAAGATGTTTTCAAGCTTCTGGACTGGAAAGGATACGGTATCAACATCAATGGCGAGTACATCACTCACCTTCGATTTGCCGACGATATAGTCCTTATGGCAGAATCGCTGGAGGACCTAAGCACTATGCTCAATGACCTCAATAGTGTTTCCCAACGGATAGGTCTTAAGATGAACATGGACAAAACAAAGATCATGTTTAATGTCCATGTCACACCTATGCCGGTAGTTGTTGGGAACACTAAGCTCGAAGTTGTTGACGAGTATGTTTACCTGGGACAAATAGTCCGACTAGGTAAGTCCAACTTCGACCGAGAGGTCAATCGACGGATTCAACTCGGTTGGGCAGCGTTCGGGAAATTACGGCACATCTTCTCGTCAGGTATACCTCAAAACTTGAAAACGAGACTGTACACCTAGTGCGTGTTGCCAGTGATGACATACGGAACTGAGACGTGGTCCTTCACTGCTGGCCGGATGAGGAAGCTCAAGGTCGCTCAGCGAGCTATGGAGAGGGCTATGCTCGGAGTTTCTCTGCGTGATAAACTCAGAAATGAGGATATCCGCAGTAGAACTAGAGTGACCGACATAGCCCAACGGATTAGTAAGCTGAAGTGGCAATGGGCCGGCCATATAGCTCGAAGAACCGACAACCGATGGGGAAGAAAGGTTCTCGAGTGGCAGCCTCGTACCGGCAGGCGAAGTGTAGGGCGTCCCCCCACTAGATGGAGTGACGACCTGGTAAGATATGCAGGAAGTCGATGGATGCAGGTGGCTCAAGACCGTGCTTTGTGGCATTCTTTGGGG